TAATTTTCAAAGGTAAGCAAACAGTATTTTGGCACACCCCCCCCCCAACCAATCATTGATATATATTTTCTGTTTGTCGTGGGAGTTCTGTGTGCCATATTTGGTTCAATTCCATCATTGGTGGAGTTCAGAATGCTCTTTGATTGTAGGTGAACTATACATCCCAGTAACTACACTTGCCGCACTTGCTCCCTTGCCTAACCCGCTTTGGGTCCGGAGGCGTGCCTGAAGACCCCGGAGTGTGCACCAAAAGTCACCTCTTCTCCTGACTTTCTTCTCAGCCATTTGGACCAAGAGAGAGAGAGAGAGACAGAGAGAGAGACAGAGACAGAGACAGAGGTGGAGATGCTCACCTTTCCTAAAGGTAGGCGCAAAAACAAAGGAGGGAGCGGAGGTGGGGGATACCTCCAACCTCTCTCTCTCTCTCTCTCTTCATCCCAATGGCTGAAGAGAAAGTCAGGAGAAGAGGTGACTTTTGGTGCGCACACTGGGGTCTTCAGACACGAATGGCTGAAGAGAAAGTCAGGAGAAGAGGTGACTTTTGGTGCGCACACTGGGGTCTTCAGACACGCCTCTGGACCCGAAGCGGGCCAGACGCGGCGGCTCTGCCCCTTGGCCCACCCACGGATTGGGGAGAGGAGAGGAAGCAGGTGGAGTGCCGGGGATCGGGAAAGGGAGCCGGTCATGGGGAAGGGATCGAACGCAGAGAACGATTGAGCGCCAGCTCTGCTCGTGCACCCGGTGGCCAGGTGGAGCAGGAATGAGAGGGGCTAGGCGAGGCTCAAGGGCCCAACCCCTTTGGGAAGAGGATCGCCCGGCAGCAAGGCAAGAAAGCCAAGGCTCCCCCGGACTGCTAGGGCTGTTGTGAGCTGAGGGGGTGCTCCTCAAGTGGCGGTCGAGGGGCATTTACAGAGGCGCCTCTGCATCCCTGGCAAAAAAAATGTTCTGCGACCGCTTACTTCGCGTAATGGACGAGCCGCCCCTGAGTCCAGGCTTTGATTGTGTCTGCACCTGATCTCTCTGGGGATTCTGGGCCTGTAAGTCTCCTGCAAGTCAGCAGGAGAGCCAGCAAGAGATTTTAAGCCCTGAAAATAAGAGGTCTCTGTCTGAAGGGCACATTCCAGAAAGGCGGTTTGCTAGGGACGCAAGGTCAAAAACAGAACTAAGCTCAGAGGATGAAAATGAAAATCCAGGTGGACAGAATAATGAGAAGCTAGATCGGAAATTTGCATTCCGTCAACACATAGCTTCTCAAGAGAGTGTACGAAGGTCAAGATGCCTATTAGTCAAGAAGTCCTTATCAGGTTCCTAGGAGAGAAGGCATGATTTTCTGTCTAAATTAGCTAGACCAGCAGACTGTTTCACCAGACAAGGCAACACTAGTGTTTGAGTATAAAACTTCTGTCAAGTCAAGGGACTAACATACTTAATATCAAAAAATAAGAGGACCCCAATAAGAGAAACTGATTGGATGAAAGTGACAAACTATCTGAAACAGAAGAATGGAAATACAATAATATAAAAGGAAGAGAAAATAAGATGGAAGAAAAGACAAGACAAAAGAAAGAAGAGGAAAAACCACTCTGAAGATACTTAGGAAGTAAAGGAGGTACATACTATCCTTCCCCTGGTTTTAACTACCTATCTGCTGTTTTCTCTTTTTCTCTCTTTTTCTTCTTTTTTTCTCTTTCAATTTCTCCTTCCTCACTCTCTCTCCCAACATTTTTATTTTTATTTTTATTTGTTTTTTGTGTGTTATTATTATCTCTATTATTTTGTATTTTAAATGATAATTTTCAATAAAGATTATATTTTTAAAAAGGGGATTTCTAGTTCCATGTTTCATCTTTCCTTTTTGTTCATGTTTCATGAATCCGAGTTTTTGAGGACTGTTCCTGAATCTCATGTTTTGGATTTATTCTCTTTTTATATTCCTGGTTTTTGATGCTACTCATGTACTTTGATTCTGTGGATTAATCCTGATATTTGGACTTAATTTTTATACTATTTTGCTGAATTGCATTTCATGTATTCTTCATTAAACTGCCTTGCTATTTTACCTTGGACTGGAGTGTGTGTTAAGTACAGAGGTGATGCCCAGTCTTGGAGTGCAACGTATAGACTGGATAGCTCTTAAGAATCCACTGTCAATTGGGAAATCCATTTATTTTCCTTCCATCCACTGTGAGTGTGTGTTAAGTACAGAGGTGAATTCCAGCCTTGGAGTGCAACATATACACTGGATAGCTCTGAATAACCCACTGTCAATTGGGAAATCCATTTATTTTCCTTCCATCCACTGTGAGCATTGTAGCTAAATTCAGAGGAAATGAGGAAGTCAAAGAGTGGTGTTGGTGGTATATAATGTGGAGTTTAAGATCATCTGGGAAGGCCCAGCTCTCGGTCCCACCTCCCTCACAGGCGTGATTGGCAGAGACGAGAGACAGGTCCTTCTCAGTGGTGGCCTCTCGACTGTGAAACTCTCTCCCCAGCAATGTTAGATCAGCCCCCTACCTTCTGACATTCCACAAGAGAGTGAAAACATGGCTTTTTAATATTTATTTAAGTGTACATTGTGTTTTAGGGCATCAAATAATTGACTGTATGTAAAGCAGCTTTGAGTCCCCTCCAGGGTGAGAATGGCAGGGAAGAAATGTTGTAAATAAATAAATAACTGCAAAGTGTTATCTAGTCTTTGAGGCCTTCAGAAAAAAGTGGTTGATCTGCTAGTGAGTATTCAAGGTTTTCTCCACTTTTGTGGGGATCTTGCACCTTTAACCTCAGCGAACATGGAAAATTGACTGTATTCCATCTTCTTTCTCACCCTGCTTCTGCAATTGTATTATTTATATGAACATTTCATGACAGGGGTTTCATGCCATGTAAGACGGACACAGAAATGGACAAAGTTGTGATAAATGGGCAAGAAATCCTCAGGAGTTGAATGTAGCAGACTTGGAAGACTATACAAAGATGCAACAAGAAACAAGGGCTGAACGTCAGAATGGAACCAGGTCGTGAAAAGATTAAAAGACATCAGAGTGTCACATACTGTTATAGATAAATAACTCTGCATTAATAACTCTATACATTTTAAAACCTATTTAAAAGGCAAATATCTGGCCTGAAGAGTTTATAATCCAGGTTTAAACAGAATAGACTTGACAAATCTTCACTCAGTGAGAAGTTGGACATATCTGGCCTACACACTGATTCTTAAGCCTCTAATTCCTTCCCCCAATTTTTCAACCCCACTAAAATCACCTCCCTCGATGCACTGGCTTTCTAGTGTGTTAAATCCTTTATCACAAAAGATATGCAACTCAATCAATAAATAAATAAACTGGAAATACTCTCGTACTCTGCAAGACAATATTTGTGTCAAAACATTAACTATGAGAGGATATTAATACAATACATCTTGTTATCCTGAAAAAAAATTACCTGAAACTGTCCCAGATATTTTTGAACTTGTCTGATTTTGTTATGAATAGTTCATATTTGTTCATAACTTCCAATCATAATTTTAGGTGGTGTTTTCTTTGTCTTATAAGCAAAATGGCTGTGGTCCCCAGTCTATAACCATATATTCCTCTCCAAATCAATAGCATTTACAACCATATTTTAAAAGCTTTTCTTTTTGAAATTGTTCTCTGTCACCCTTTGGAGCCTTGGGTTTTTCTGACAAAACATACAAATTTGGGTACTATTCCATTATCCGGATGGAAGCCACTAGGGGGTGCTAGAGAGAGAATAATGGAATTGAACCATGTTATGGGGGGGGGGGGGTTGAAGGAAGAAAACAATTTTACCCATTTTTGCTGGTTATTGCCCCTCCCCACTTCCCATATCATAAATGAGGGTTGTTTCCACAACAAGGACATGGGTGCAGGGAATAACAGGAAAGAAGGGGGAACTGGTTTTCCTCCTTCAACCCACCCTCCACCCCCACAAACTAGACTAGCCTTCTCTCTAGTGTCCCCTAGTGGCATCTGGCTGGATAATGGAACAGTACCCAAATTTGCTTTTTTCCTTTAATGTCTAATCCTGGATATTCCTGTGCTTTCTTTTTCCTCCACCACAACTTGAAGGGGAGGTATCCACCCTTTTGCATATTTCACTTCTTTCCTCCAATCCATTATTCATGAATTACTTGCCTTTTTGTCTACATGAGAGAAAGACAATGGCAAACCACCTCTAAACAAGTCTTACCAACAAGATCACCTTAGGGTTGCCAACAGCTGGACATGGTAACAGACTCCAAGGATGTTTTTGTGGTCTTCAATGTCTGACGTTGAGAGAATGTGATTTGCTCAAAGTCACTCAGTGGGTTTCTAGGGCTGAGCAGGCATTTAAACACACTGACCCAGATCTGGGTGCTTCAGTCTTTTGTCTAGACCAGGGTTTCTTAAAATTTTCCACTCACAACTCCTTTCTGCCTGAGAAATTTTTCAGTGTTTCAAGGTATAAACGTATATAAAACAGGTATAAACATAAAACATTTACTGATAATAAATCAACACTGATACGGCTTGCTACACAGCATGATCTTCTTTTTGTGTGGAGTCCAGCTGAAACATTTTCTATAGGATCCACTGTAAATACTGCATGTTGTGGCTCACAGATTTGTGCAAATGAGTGGCATTCGTAAAGCTTTTACTGTTGCCCATTTTCCCCCTGACCACAATATTGAGGAAAGTGGACACCCTTTGAAATCCACAGTTTAAGAAGAAGTGGTCTAGAAGTGGTCTAGAAGAGGGTAGCATGCTTGCTGGGTGAGTCTTGAGAAGGCATTCCAAAAACACAAACATGAAGGTAGGTCTAACGTTAGGAAAAACGTTTCTCAACTTACAGCAGATTCATAAAAAAAAGCTTTAAAAGTACTTGCCCTAAGATCCACTCTACTTGCCCACTCTACTTGCCCTAAGATCCATTCTAGTCGCTCTGCTTTAAATCAAGGATGACTACCCACATCATGAAAACCGGAAAAACAGACTTACCTAATTATGAAGGTGGTAGTAATTCCTAAGCTGTGTCCTGAAGAAATCAAGAAAAGTTCAATGTCCTGTGAAAAACAAATAGGTACCATTTAAATTCAGAAGCAATTATTTTCATAATCCATTAATGTCTTGTCATTGCCATTGCCATATGAATGCTTCCATATCTAATCCTAAATATTTCTTTCTGGTTACGGTTTGTGCTTTTGGTATGAACTCTTTTTACTCTGACTGTGGATTTGACTCTCTGAATCCCCCGCCCAAGTATAAGACTTCTCCTGTTAGACAAATATGCATAAACTTTGAATACGCATTCAATATGTTTGAATGGTTTTTAACTGTGAATTTTTTTCTACTGTTTATATTTAATTCTGTTTTTAATGTTTGTATATTTAAAATTGTGTACTAATGCTTTCATGTCAAGCCACTTTGAGTTCCCTTTGGGGAGAGATAAAGTGGGGTATAAATCTCTCTCTCTCTCTCTCTCTCTCTCTAAATGCTCTGTTCGTTTTGAGTGACATCATAACTCAAAATCTGCTGGACGAATTGCTGCCAAATTTGACCACAAGACACCTACTAACCTAAGGAGTGACCATCACTAAAAAAAATGATTTTGTCATTTGGGAGTTGTAGTTGCTGGGATTTATAGTTAACCTACAATCAAAGAACATTCTCAACTCCACCAACGATGGAATTAAACCAAACTTGGCAAACAGGACTCCCATAACCAACAGAAAACACTAGAAGGATTTGGTGGGCATTGACCTCGAGTTTTGGAGTTGTAGTTCACCTACATCCAGAGAGTACTGTGGACTCAAACAATGAAGGATCTAGACCAAACTTGGCACGGATACTTTATATGCCCAAATATGAACACAAATGGGGTTTGGGGAAAACAGACCTTGATATCTGGGAGTTGTAGTTACTGGGATTTGTAGTTCACCTACAATCAAAGAGCATTCTGAATCCCACCAATGATAGAATTGGGCCAAACTTCTCATACAGAACCCCCACGACCAATAGAAGATACTGTGTTTTCTGGTGGTTTTTGGCAACCCTTCTGACACTCCTCCGTGCCCCCCCCCCCAGGGGTCCCAATCCCCAGGTTGAGAAATGCCGCCTTAAGGCCATCCAGTCCAACTTCCTTTACCAGGACAAGAAAGCATAATCAAAGCTTTCCTGACAAAGCGCTATCCAGCCATAGATATAGATAGATATATATGATTCATTCATATACACACACACAAATGAAGATTTCCATAGAAAATTGAGGCATATATTTGAATATTTAGAAAGGAAGACAAATGTAGACTTTAAAGGAGCTGCAAGAGGAAATTATTAATATAAAGGTAAGGGTAGCCTTCAAGTTGCCTGATGACTCATTGCAACCCCATACAGTTTTCTTAGGCAAGAAGTACCTAGAGGTGATTTTATCAGTCCTGTTTTGAAAATGGAGCCAATACCATCTGGTAATAATTTGTGGTTTCCCTCCAAGTACTACTTTCCTGGAGTAGGCATGATATGGAGCAATAAGAGTATATGCTTGAGATGTCTAGTGCGCATTTTTAAACAAGATTATTTGCAGGGGAAAAAATGAAAAAAAAATCATCATTTTTTTCCTCACTGCAACAATGATGGTGAAAACTATCCATATTTGGGGTTTATCCCATGCCCAAAATTGCATGTAGGTTTTTGTAAAAGAAAATGTTGTGTGATCTTTTCTGCACACAACACAATATTCCTTAGGCCAGTGTTTCTCAACCTGGGGGTCGGGACCCCTGAGGGGATCGCAAGGGGGTGTCAGAGGGGTCGCCAAAGACCATAAGAAAACACAGTATTTTCTGATGGTCATGGGGATTCCAAGTGGGAAGTTTGAGCCAATTCTATTGTTGGTGGAGTTCAGAATGTTCTTTGATTGTAATGAACTATAAATCCCAGCAACTACAAGTTTAGTCAAGATCTATTTTCCCCAGACTCCACCAGTTTTCACATTTGGGCAAACTGAGTATTTGTGCCAAGTTTGGTCCAGATCCACCATTGCATGAGTCCACAGTGCTCTCTGGATATAGGTGAACTACAACTCCCAAACTCAAGGTCAATGCCCACCAAACCCTTCCAGTGTTTTCCATTGGTCATGGGAGCCAAGTTTGGTTCAACTCCATCGCTGATGGAGTTCAGAATGCTCTTTGATTATAAGTGGACTATAAATCCCAGCAACTACAACTCCCAAATTACAAAATCAATCCTCCCCCAACCCCACTACCATTCACATTTGGGTGTATTGGGTATTTGTGCCCAGTTTGGTCCAGCGAATGAAAATGCATCCTGCATATCAGATATTTACATTATGATTTATAACAGTAGTAAAATGACTATTATGAAGTAGCAACGAAAACAATATTATGTTTGGGGGTCACCACAACATGAAGGACTGTACTAAGGGGTCACGGCATTAGGAAGGTTGAGAACTACTGCAAATATGCAATTTTTTTTCAAACAGAATAGGTTCTCACTGTGAAGATTCCTGCCTGTCTACGAGTTTCCTCATTAGGATCTCCTGCTCCTCAATAAACCCATTTTTAAACATTTTTCAATTATTTTTGAATATTCCTTCCTTTTCTAAAAGAAAAGAAAAGAAAGAAGCAGAAAATAAGCTATAAGAATTTAAACCAAGCATGAATGAGCCAGCATCTCCATCTGTGAGAAACCCCCTTCTCCTCAACACTTCTTTCATAACTCTGTGACAAGTAAGGCTTCTCTCAGGATGCGGATGTGTGAAGGATTCACACTTTTCCATTTTAGGTTTATACATACACATTTAAAGCATGAGAGAAAGGGGAAACCGTTTTGGAAACAAGCACAACCCACAATTAGACATATTCAGGATTATGTAAGAGGCACTTGGGGCTTTGCCGCTCTATGTTGTGCTATTCTTCCACTTTAACTGCTAAGTCAACATCATAGGGAACCGTGGGATTTGCAATTAAAAGAGTAGTATTTAGTAGTCTCAACCAGAGAGCTTTTAGCATCACTAAACTACAAATCTCAGCATTTCACAGCATTTCAACGCTCTGGATACATCCCGTATAGACTACTGCAATGCTCTCTACGTGGGGTTGCCTCTGAAGACTGCCCGGAAGCTACAACTAGTCCAATGAGCGGCAGCCAGATTACTAACAGGAGCGGGGTACAGGGAGCATACTACTCCTCTGTTGCGTCAGCTCCACTGCCTGCCGATTAGCTTCCGAGCACAATTCAAAGTGCTGGTGCTGACCTATAAATCCCTAAACAACTCCGGCCCAGTATACCTATCCGAACGGATTCTCCCCTATGAACCATCAAGGTTGTTAAGGTCTTCTGGAGGGGCCCTGCTCTCGGTCCCACCACCTTCACAATCGCTTCTGGTGGGGATGAAGGACAGGGCCTTTTCGGTGGTGGCCCCTCAGCTCTGGAACTCTCTCCTGATGGAGATCAGATCTGCCCCTTCCGTCCTGACTTTCAGAAAGATGGTAAAATCTTGGCTTTGGAACTAAGCATTCTCAGAATGATGATTGAGTCAATAACTGCTGACCACATTGGCGGATGGTGATGAATTTGTGATTTACGTTGACGACTTGGCTTTATGTAATTATTTAATCTGTATTTTAATGTATTTTAATGTATTAACATATTATGATGTCATTATGTTTTAGCTTGTTTGTGTACGAATTTCCTGTTGTTAGCCGGCCTGAGTCCCTCTTCGGAGGTCGGGAAGACCAGGTTATAAAAGCTCTAAATAAATAAATAAATAAATAAATAAATAAATAAATAAATAAATAAATATTACCGTGGCATTTATACTGAAACAATAGCTCTATAACAGTGTCCAAACTTACTGAATATACTTACTGCCTATAGTGAGACAAGGTAAGAGCTATCAGGGCAGAACTTAAATGAAAAACATAGCCCTCTATTCTCGTCGCTTCTTTCCTTTTTGAATACATGTCCAGGAGGTTTGCCAGGGATGCCTGGTCCTCAGAGAAGGTGCAAGTACTTTCTCCTCTCTGTGGAATGACCCTCAATTTATCTATTCATTCTATAAAAACCCTAAATTTTGGTTCCAAAAGCCTTTGACTTATACATAAGGTTAACTTATACAGAGGTATACACAGGCAGGCAATCCCCAAATTACAAGCATTCAACTTACTAATGACTCATAGTTAAGAACAGTGGTGAGACAACAGGAAGTTAGAGATAGGACCTCATCACAGTAACTACTGGATTTGGCACAGTTAGTGGTGAATCCAGCTGGTCCTCGTGAGGGGATTATGGCAAATCCGGTGTGACCCGAAGTGGGGAATCCATTGCCCCACACCAGGCCCGTAGCCAGGATTTTGATTCGGGGGGGGGGGGTTGAGTTTGATTCGGGGGGGGCTGAGTCTGAGTGAAAGAGGGTCTACCTTAGCAAACCTTTTGTATTGTTACCCCAATACCCCCATGCATATGGAATATATTGAGCATGGTGATCAGATCATGTTATGAGTAAACATAACAGTTGAAATAATGTACCAGTAAGGACTTCTCGCGGACCACCAAGTGAATTTTTTGGGGGGTGAAGCCCCTCAAGCCCCCCCCAGCTACATGCCTGCCCCACACCCCGCATTGCCCCCCATGCCATGTACCCCATCCCATAGGGGAAGAGTCCGCTGCCCAGCTTCCCCCTGTTGTTCCTTATGGAACATGGAAAGTCCCCTTGTCAGGCACGGAGGTCCGCCAGAAAGAGATCAGCATCATGGAATGGGAGCTGGAAGTAGATCAGTATCATGGAATGGGTGAAGGTAGTGTAGGATGGGCAATTTTGGCTGTCTTTCCCACCTCGGAGGGGAAATTCACTCCTTTCATGGGAAAAAGGTGTCTCCACTGAAGTTGTCTCACCAATCCTCATTTCCACAAGAAGCCACATTTTTAAAAATACAATGATGACAGGGACAAAAAGTGAGGTGAAACATATATTTGTACAAGGGTACAAACAGTAAAATAGACACCACAGGAGTCCCTTTACGTCCCACCCCGGAGTCTAAGATCTTCT